GTCTGAAAGGAAGTAACGCTAGAGTAGACTCGCGAAAAGTGTATAAGACACTTTTAAGATCAACTAAATAGCTAAGCCCAAGGGAAGTCGTTCGGGGAGGCCCTCCCTAATTCCACAAGGGTGAGAAGAAACACACACGATAACGAAACGTTGAATCATGTAGAACTCGTAGGGTAAATGCAAAGCAAATTAGGAAGAATATGCAGTAAGCTAAGCGAAGAGGTAAGCAAGAGACATGTTAGACTATGACTACCAAAAAAAACTAAACGTGTTAGTACAGTAATAACGACTACAACTAAAAACAATAACAACATCTACAATCAAAAATTAATTCAAATAAAATAAACTACAAAAAACATGCAAAATAGACAAGTATTTTAACTACGGGGTCTTCTTTATCTTCTCCACCGGCGATCTGAAACAGATAGGGTGGCAACAGATTAATAATGAGAAACAAATGTTAATTATGTTATGTATTCTCACCTTAATTAATTACAATGTGCCAAAGTCAACAAGTGCAAACAGTAATGCAAATCCAGGAAGAATGATGCCACTGCAGACAATTTGGGATCCAAATCAACTTCAAGGTGCTCTCTCAATCAGTCGTCGAAGATTAATTGCATAATGTTGCAAAATGAAGATGTTAACGGCAGGCCAATGTCCACAGTCCAAGAAAAATGACGTCGCAGGGTAGAATAAAAATTAACTTCATGCTTATAAGATAATCTGTAAAAAACGGATAAAAAATGAATTAACGAAGTGTAGTAAGTAAATAACACGAAATAAAAGTTGTACTTAAATCAACAATGTTCTGTAATGTTTTACTGATTTTTTGCTACTTTATTCTCCCATCGCATTGTAATCCAAAGAGTTTTAATAACGTTCCTGTGAAATAAATTGTTTCTAGTTTCCCTAGTAAACAATTTGATAACAGAATGTAAAACAATAATGCTGAGCATTAGAGAAATTTTTATTACAATGGTACAAACGGAAAAACTTGTACATTAGTACATTCACTCATTCAATCCCATCCACACTTCTTGCTCACACCCCCATTCAATCCTCTACTCGCAGTGTACGAATGAGGGTATTTTAATATATTAAAAGTTACAAAAGATGAAAGACAAACAAAATTAAATGAAAAATAATAAAACAACTTAATAACTCACCCCTGTTGTTATAGTGGAGTTGTTAGCCTATATTTCAGCAGGATCACTCGATAAATCACGACCCGTTGGGGGATGACGTCCAAGTGTAGCAGCTTTTGACGGTGTCCTGCGGTAAGACAAGAATAATTATGACCTTAAAATATATGCACGAAGTAAATAGAAACAATTTTAATGAATATTTTAGTAGAGTAGATATTGAATGTTTAAAGAAGCACAATCAAAATCAGATGAAAAACTCACCCCTGTTGCTGTCGTCGAATTAAATCATCCCGTTGCTTCCCTCCGTTCAAACAGAACTCCAACGAACTCTTCTACGGCTTACAATCAGAGTCTGGAAGGGAAAACCAAAAGATCACCTGCAAAAAGATCAAGATCAAGTAAAAAAATACTTTTCATTTTTATACATGTGCTTATAACTATTAATAGAAAAGAAAAGAATCAGCTCATGAAGTTAGCTGATCATTGATCATATTTGAAAAGTGAAAAATATATTCAAGCATTTTAAATCCAGATCAAAGTCAAAAAAATACAACTGAACATAGATATAAACCCAAAAATTCTATTAACAATAGACGCTCGTAAATTTTGAACCTCTTAAAAAAACAATTTCATTATTTTGTTATTGTTGATAAGAGTAATCAACTAACGTGTAATCTGTAATAAAAGTGACTAGTCGAACAAGCATAAAGCCGTAGGTAAATAAGTGAAAGTACGTATAAGTAAAAAAAATTGTGGTGATAAATATTTCAGAAAATTGGTAGCAATTTATCTTTCTTTATTAAACTGTAAGAGACCGAAAGTAATCGTGAATTTTCTCATTTTGATGGCAGCAAGGACGAATCACCTTTAGACATTTAAAAGAGAATACAGGAAAATCGGAAAAATTTTATACCTTGGCTCCGGTTCCTTTTTTTAATTTGTCATCCCATTAATATTGCCATTTAAAAATTATTTACTATTTAAATACGACAGGCTGAAATTATGTGGTAGTAAAGTTTCAAATACCATCCTTTTTTTTACTCATCATCATAAGGTCGCCAGTCCTAAGACTGGTTGGACACGTACCTCCACTCTTTCCTATCCTGAGCTAAACATCTCATTTCCCTAAAACCAGAACAACCTACATCCTTAACTATTTGCGAAAACTAATCTAATCTAGGTCTACCTCTACCCCTTCTAACTCCTGTTTCTGCCACTAATATGTCTCTGACTAGACCTTCATGCCAAAGAAGGTGTCCTACCAACCTATCTCGCCTATTTTGTATTGACTTCCTTAGAGTCCTCTGTTCTCCTATTCTTTCCAATACCTCTTCATTTCTAACCTATTCTACCCAGGATATCCTCATCATCCGCCTATAACACCACATTTCGAACGCTTCTAACCTTTTCTTTTCCGCCGCGCCCACTGTCCATGTTTCGCACCCGTACAACGCCGTGCTCCAAACATACACCTTTAACAACCTTTTTCGAATTTCTAAATTAACCGTTCGCGAGCATAGAAGTGACTTCTTTTTATTAAAGGCGACACGACCCTGCGCTATCCTCTGCTTTATATCCCTACTACTCCTTCCATCCTCACTTATCTGACTTCCTAGGTATCTAAAATCAGCCACTTCTTCTAATTTTTCGTCTCCTATCTTTATATTCGCTCTTTCCCTACTTTTTCTTCCCTTGCATATCAGTATTTTAGTTTTACTTTTATTTATTTTCATACAGTACTGATCTGTCAGTACCACTTCCATTTTATTTAAAGCTATCTCTAGGTCCTCCTTGCTAGATGCTAATACTGCTATATCATCTGCAAATATAAGCATACTAATTTATTGCCCTTGCACATCTATCCCTACAGTTGTACTCTCTTTAATGATGTTGATGGCGTCTTCGATGTATAGATTGAAAACTAGCGGTGACAGTGTGCATCCCTGTTTGACTCCCTTCCTAATATTTACTTCTCTATGTTGCATCCCTAGCTCTATAACTGCCTGTTGCTCTTTATACAAACTAAGTATCACTCTTCTATCTTTGTAACTCATCCCTACATTTTTAGGTATATTTAACATCTTGTACCATTTAACATTGTCAAAAGCATTTTCTAAATCTACAAATCCTAATGTACGCACTCTTTCCTTTTTCTATCGTTTTCTCTATTGTTACGCTTAAAGCTAGAATGACCTCCAGAGTTCCTCTATTTCTTCTAAACCCATTATATATGAGAATGCTATAGAATAAGCAGTCCAGTTACTGAAGAGATAACTTTTGTCAAAAAGTGCCTTAAACATACATTTGCAAGTTAAAAACGATGTTAAGTTATAACAGAAAATTTTATTTCAATATACATAAAAAATGTCCTTTTACTTTAATCCTTTTTACAAGGAATTAAACCGGTGCAGCAATTCAATAACCAGAGGGATATAAACAAACGTTTTCAAAAAATCGTAGAAGGCAGACAATGGAATAAAAACTATCTTTTATGGAAAGAAGAAATGCATAGGCATATTTAATTTCGGAGAGACGAAATAATTTTTCCTGATCTTGAACATTATGACAAATGGAAATTTACTATTTTTACGATTTTTTGATTCAATGGTGTTGCAGAAATGCTATTTTTGGTAGAATTTTTGCCCCAAATAAATTAGCAATTTCAACTGTTCAATACCCTCTATTTAACTAAAAAATTTTATAAATAACTAGGAAAATAAAAAAGTACACTATTACCAAACCTTTATGAAAATCTTTTAAAATAAAAAATGTCCAAGTTTCGAATTAATAAGACAATACCTATAGTATGGTGGATCAAAGTGGTTTGAAAAATGTTTGTCTTTTGTTGTTGTATTTTTGAATAATATTATTTGTTCACGAGGAATACTTGTCATCAGTCTTGTCTGTTTCCCATTTTGCCTTTTTTTTGTAAATGTAAAGCATTTTTCATTTTTTTTTCTACATCCCTCCTCATCCACTTACCCACATCAGCAATTCTGCATTTGTACGAGATTGATATAAATGTATACAGTTTCCGTATTTCTTTCAAATAACAAGTGAGCAATTCAAAACAAAACACTATTTTGATTCATTCATTTTTACAAAAAGGAAATATACTACCTCACATAGTTAAACCAGATAAACGTAAAAAGCTGGAATCTACGTTAGTTAGTGATGCAATGATATACCAAAATTTCTGGCCTAAATAGTCCCGGAATATGTATATTATTTACGATTAATTTTAAAATGTAGCTTTCCTTTTTATTTTAAAAACAAACTCCACACTACTTAAATTTATCAAAATAAAAGGTAAACCTATGATTAAGAATAAAAATCAAGCCTGAATGACTCACCGAAGGATAATGATAATTTTCCCGTCAATTTTTGATATCACATGGACATCACTTTCCCACTTGATAACAACACAATCGTCTTTTTCATAACATTTCAACTTCACACGACAATAAAATGTTTTATATTGATTTTATTAAATACTATACCCTCTAAACCGGGATAATCTGCTACATATTTTCCGACATCTTTAATGAAACAAATACTGTAAAAGCGAACAAACTAAAACTAACAATGGCAGAGCCGGAAAGATGTTGTCGCTATCGAAGAACCGAACCAAGGGCAACCTTCAAACCAAATGAATAACAAAAAACTATTTTAAGTTTGTATGGTACTACTTTATGTTTTCGAAAATATTTTTTTTTTTCTTATGCAGGTTTTAATATACCAGGACGGTTCAATCACTGAGGAGTATCCCTAGACAAAAATTTTCAGCCTCTCTCCAGTCTCTCAGAGTCTTTCAGCGTCTCTGAGAGCGTCTCTCACAGTCTCTCAGTTATTGTCTAGGTGTTTTTATGGATCTCTCACAGTCTCTGTATGAGAGACTCGAACGATAAAATTGTTAATTCAGAGATTCGAGTCTGAGTGAATAAAACTGAAAAATTGAGAGACTGGAGTCTCTCGTAGAAAGACTGGGATCTCTGAAATATGTTGAACTTTTAACCATGTCTATCGAGACACCACTTATTGAGAGATTCGAGTCTCTCGTTCAGAGAATGGAGTCTCTCGTTCAGAGATTCGAGTCTCTCAGAGACGCTAACAGTTTTTTTTGACAGTCTCTCTCAGCGACACCGGAGAGACTCGATGAGAGACGGAAACTCGGGTCTCGCTTTCAGAGACTCTGAGAGACTGAACATTTTTATCTCGGGATTATGTCCTAAGGAAATGCAAGAGTGCATGGACGAAAACTTCCGAAATTTTAGATGACTTCAAAATGTCAAAAAACGCTTGCAAAAGTGGATACAGCTAGAAGATTACATTTAAAAACAAAGGTACATCCATCTAAAATAATTTGTATTTCTATGGCCTTATTTAGCGGGCTTTATTACAAACTTATGACTTCAGGTGCAATTTTTCCTATTAAAAACTTTTGCCAAGTTCCCCATTCTTCACTCCATAAATAATCTATTACGTATGTGGAAAACCTCAATCCCAACGTTTCTACTTTTAAAAAAAAAAGAGTAATTTACATACGGAAAATGGTATAGTGGGTATTGAATATGCATATGGCTATCGGACAAGTGTGGTGCATGTAATATAATACGATCTTTTGCGGAGAAAAGTGCAATTTGTTGGTCGCAAATTCGGCAAAAATACGTCTAGTTCCCGACATTATAAAGCATGACCAATTTATCTGGCTCGACTATTACATATCTCACTTTCTTCTGCAGGCACCGTTCGCTCATCCACCCACCCACCCCCCTTTAAACAAGAGAGAACTGGGGTGAGTTAATGGAGAAGAAATTCGACGACTTACGTAGATACAGCGCGCAAGGGAGAAATAGGGCAGATAAACGTAAAAGTGGCAAAATTACGGTTTGATTATAACAACTGGCATCAAGAGCCAGCCGTGTTGTTATTGTACGTAATACGTACATATATGTACGTTATATAACTACTGTTAGGTACTGCTGTTGCGAGTTGTCTGAAAAGTACACAATTCTACGTATACGATGCCCTCGGATAAGTTCGTTTCAATTAAAGGAACAACGGGAAATGAATTCGGAACCGATAAGTGCAACGACATGTGTATTGGTAAGATTAAGAAAGAAAAGGATTGTTTTCGTTGCCGGTTGCTGTGGTGGTACTCCTGCATTGCACTGATGGCAGGAACGAAACAAGTCTGCTCTCCTTAATCCTTAACAATTTCGTTTCCGTGTACGCTGGATTTTAATTAACTTGTCCACAGTATAAATCATCCCGAATTGAAGGTGTCCCAAGAGATAGCGTCAAGAGAAAATAATAAAATAGAGAAATTCAAAGTATAACTGGAAAATGTTCATTGATTGCCAGGAAACATGAACGATTTCCTGTAGGTGTATTAATTGAGTAAAGTGCTAATGTTATCGCCTATATAGTTACCGTTCTACACTCGATTTTAAACAAAACATAAACATACTACGTTCTCTGTTTCCTCGAAAACAAATGTGAACATTCCTGAACTAGAATTGGAAAAGTTTATTTTCTTTGAAATCCTTTGACAGGTATAAATCATAATAAAAAAAAACTAATAAAGGAATTTGACTTGTTCGTAGTGTATTAAAAGGATCTCTTCTTGGAAAAATCTCCAACTTTCTACGAGTAAACTACCCCTTAAATTTTGAAGGTATTTCCTAATATTCGAGAACTATACATTGTAAATAAACACCAAAATTTCTCAGTTAAAATGACGCAGCTTATGAGATACTCTGTCTATATATATGTATTTACATTTAAAAACCTCAATCACTCAATTAGTAAAACACCAACAAGCGAAGAAATATGAACAACTTAGTCATAACGCATAATTCGTATCATTTTATAACTATAAAGATATAATAATTAAAACTCACCATTTTGGATGTTGAACTCTTCCAATTAAAATTGGAAAAACTGAAGCCTTTGATGGATAGGGGTTGATTACAACCTGTAACAAAATAAACATTTAAAAACTGAGGAATATTTCAAGAAGGTTCACGGAGAATACTAAATTTTTATGACAACGCAAACATTACAATTTTAGATTGTAAGTGAGCGAATTTGCCGTAGAAATAATATAATTTATTAGGTAACTTGTAATAATCTCAATTTTGACATGTTTTTTTAAAAATTGTTTCAAGTTTCTTAATTATTACAATTTAATTTGTAATATCAACTAAAATACCTAGTAAATTTATTTCTGCTGGGATTTCATTTTTACAAATTCGTGTTCAAATTGTAACTTTCATTATTTTCGCTTATGAAGCAACAGGATAGTGGGATAAATTGTAAATATCGCTTTAATATATAGGTAAATTTTCATATTTCATTTTCTCTATGTTTATTTTTAATAATATATTTCATATAATAGATTTCCCAACCTTTTTATCCAAATTTGAAAAATTATCCACTACTTACAGAACACCCTGTATACGTTAATAACTAGTAGATATGTAAAAAAGAAAGATTACCACAAATCTAGTTATTACTTTGTCCGCGGCTATTAAACATTCCAAACAGCCTACCCTGCGTAACTTAACCTGACAACACCATTAGTGTCATTTTCACAGGATAATGCCGTCATTACGGGACACGAAAATAATCCGGGAGGATCCGGGCAACGGCTTGAACCCAACGCGTTACGATAATCGTGATAAATTGCGCTTAGTAGTAGTTTGTGTTTGATATTAGAAACGTACGTATGTGTGTATGCACACATTCGGGCGTTACTATTTAATAAAGAGGACCTTTTAATGGGTAACCACAACTAGCTAAAAGGAAGCGACGGAACGACGAATCGGTTCGCAACTACAAATGCACTTATTACATTCAATGCACGGAGGAGCGGCACCATCTTTTGTTATTCGAGATTTTAAACTCCCTCGAACTCTATTTAAATTGTCTCTAATGGCAGTATCTCTCCGAAGATGGAATACGAGCATGTTAGTACAGCTTATAGACAAACTCTGACAGAATATTTAATGAGAACCAGGACTACGGTTCTTCCTCTTCGCGTACAGTCATTCGCCATCCCTCTTGCTCCCACACGCTCTCCCATACAACCGACGCGGATATGAATTAAACGGAATTACTTACTTCCGGAAATCTGTACAATAATTTATTAATTTCCAACGGTACGCCATCCGGACGAATTGGCCCATGGAATGAATGACTACTGCAACAATGCTTTCAAACGATAAAGCGAATTGTTTTAAATATTAAACTACAAATTTTAATGATAGAAACTTGAAAAATGAATAGACAAACTTTGTGCTGCTTTTATTAAGAATTTAATTACATACTTCAAATTCTGTGTTCTTACGCCTCATATCATAAAAAGGGAGGGGGTGTGTATTGATGTGCATTAACTAATTACTAAACATCAGAAAAATACAACTTTATTTCGAGCTAACGAATGCGGAATATTGGTTTAGTTTTGTTAAAAATCAGCTGACAATTTGTCGAAATAGTAATTTTCGGGATTATCAGTTGCTACTTACAGATTAACTTCTGAACCCTGTTAAAATGACTCCACCAGGTGTCACACGTGGCGCGTGACGGGTGACGTTACACTTTTCGGCTTATACCCTAGTAAATTTTATTCCTACCGTTGATAAAGATGTTTCACTTCAATGAAAAATTAGAATCTACCTAATCTTTTGATATTTATTTTGTAATACTACTATTACCACCCCTAATTCCACCTACTTTTTATGATGTACTGTATTTAGCGAAACAAATGTCACATTTAAATATAGAAACATTTAGTGAAAATCTTCTAATTTTCCGTCTTTTATTTGATGGATTTTTTTCCATAAAACTTCGGAACTATTTAAGAAAATAAAATTTAGATAGATTTTTATATTACTTTTAAAAAGGAAAGGCATGCATCTACTTAATTCTTTTAGTTTATTTGATGGTATTAAACGATTATTATACTATAACGTTCAATTAAAATTAAAAATAAAGAGAAGACTAGAAGATGGAATATTAATACGAGCACAGTTTCCTCAAAAAGACGACGGCCAGCAAATCGAAGAAAGCTGTGAGCAACTACCCTCGTTGCCAACCAACTTTACGTCAAAATATTGACGAAACTTTAATTTTGCAGTTGTTTGTATTGTATTTTAATTTCCTCGCTCTTTGCTAAATTATTTCAATTTACAATTAGTTTTTACCGCCACAGGTTATTTTCAAAATGAACACAGACAGCGACTCGTGGGAACCCCTTAGTATGTGTTCCAGATCGGTCACAAGAAGTAAATACGAACGAATGAACCCAGAATCACAAAAATGGTGGAAAAGGATGTTCGAAATAATGGAAGAAAAGCTCAAAATAGTAAGCACCAATTAATAGGTATGAGTGTACTCACTTTGGGTCATTAAAAATTTTGAAAAGCCGCCAGAAAAACGTCCAGAAGTGATATCCCAAATATATCCGAAAAAGCTGTTGGAAAGAATACTCGACATTGTGGAATCAAAGCCAGATCTCAAAATTGAAGCCAAAAAATACTATTTGGCACAAAGTTCCGCAAGCCTCTACTCCTCGGAAGGAGTTAAACACTTCGGAAAGGGCGAAAGCTGCACCAGTTTCGTAGTAGGTCAGTATATCATTAAGAGTGAGGTACCGAAAGAGACGGAAGAAGAGGAGGAAGAAGAAGAGTCCGAAGAGATGTTGAAAGAAGGACAACAAGAAGAAGAAGAAGAGGATAAAGAGGGTCCTAAAAGGTATGAAAGACGAGAGACGGAACAAACTGTGGAAGTGTTGAAAGTCGAATCTTGGGAAGAAACCGTGTCCAGTTTACCCTGCAAATATCACGCTCCGAGGAGTATAGAAATTGATGATAAAAAACACGAGTAAGAAAGCCTCAAAAGCACAAAATAGGGTTCCGTAATCATTTACTACATTTGACGTGTAACTCGTGAGATAGGAACCATTTTAAACCTTTTCATGATTGCAGTCAAGTGATTTTGGTACGTTATTTTGTTGTCATGTTCCGGAACGGATCCAAATGATTCATTTGTACAACTTAACATTTAAGCATTTATCAGTGACAGACAGCGAATGACCGAATGACCCATGATAACTATGATAACTAACTAATAGTGACTAATAGTTCCGCTGCTAATCGTCCGTTGCTGGTCACAAATGTATTTCGTTCCGAAATCTCGGGATATCGGAACGTGATTCTTATGAAACGTTCCGCGAAAATCACCGTGTTTTTTCCATCACCACCTGTCAATTTCAAAATCATAAATTAGTTATCTAGCAATCTTTCTTCGCTGTTTTTGATAACTTTCTAACGATATCCCGTTTGTCCCGATTGTCCTTACTTTAATATATATATTTACTATTAAAAAATCGAAATACACTGTACAGGCAGATGTGTAAATGAAATGGAACCCTAAAACCTTACCGTTTTATATATTAGAACCACTACGTGTATTTCTAGGGTGATTGGTGAAGAAAATCCGTACGTAAACTTTTTTAAACGTAGAGAGGAACGAGCAGCGGTCTGGAGAATTTTGCCGCCGTTATCTCTTGATGAAATGAATTTAGCACAAAAGGCCAAATATTTAGTTAATCAGGTTAGTAGTAGTAACATGATTTACACTTTCCAAATTTATAATTAAATGCTAGATTAGATAAAGGAAACAAACAATAATAATTTGAAATACGATTGAAATTGCTGAAATTGTTTTTGTTTTAATAAAAACAATACAAAATAACGACAATAAATTTGAGAACTATCGGATCACAAATAAATACAGTATAAATAGAACAATGTCTAGACTTCTCATCAGCCTTTAGGCTAAAATGGAATTGTATTTATTTGAGGTGCTAAATTTCGCAATTAACAATAAAAAGAATAGAGAAACAGTAACAAATAAATTTATAAAACAATAAACAATTTTAGATAGCAACTGAATTCATTGACTGGCTTGAAAGAGAGGGCGGCACTGAAATGATACATTTAGATGTACCAACCCTGTTATACATGTTTCAATTTAGTTTTGAAATTGGTCATGCTGCTAATTCTTTACAAGTTAGAATGAGAGAGATGCCGAGTGTTACAGAACCTGTAGCCAGAGCCACTAAAAATCTCAAGGTAGATATCATTATTGAACTTCTTCTAATTCTATTGTTATACCTTTTTTAAAATATGACTGATATCGCGGTAAATTTTAAATCTAAAACGTATTAGTTTCTCCAGTTCAGATGGTACCGACATCTACCACGAATTTTCCGAGTTAGCTACGAGAGTATTGATTTTCATCATGTTTACCACTACTACGAGAAATACATTTTCCTACCCTTTACGCCTCACAAGAACTTTACAGTAACCCCCGACAGCAGTTTTACAGTTTCCTAAAACAGAAGGAATTTTCCGGTCTTTCCTAAAGCAAATTCTAAAAGCTTACCGTATCGTTAAAGAAAATCTGCTATTGCACAAAAGGTTGCATATACGTCAGCAAAATTAAGCGGGCAAAACGAAAACGATACCATTCGTTGCGTTCCACTTTATTTTCTTTTAGAAATATATCGAGAAAAAAAATTCATTAAGTAAATTCAGTTATCTGTAAGAAAAAGTAATTTTCAGGCATCGGAGAGAAATACGTTACTGAGAAACATAAGGGAAGATATAAGGATGTCGAAGCTACCACCGAAGCAAAGAGCATTTAATAGCTCACTGCCGATACAAATGCGGCGCAAACCAAATACAGAAGATTTGTATAACAAATGGTTCGTCTGTAAACACGTTCCTCCCAAATTAGCTGATATGACCATAGTTTGGGAGGGCATCACTCATCTCAGGTATTACGTACACGATATTGGTATAAACTTTCACATTCCTTACTTATTAATTTTCGTAATCCGTGCAAACGGTTGTCCGAATCATAGTTTAATCTTCACGAATTATCTTAAGCCATTTTTAAAAGTATTATTATATTGTCATTGAGAAATTCCCAAAAGCTAAGCCGAAAATTGGCAACCGAAAATGATAACGACTGTCCGAATCATACGTCAATCTTTACGAATTAACTTAAGTAATTTTCAACAGTCGTTATTATTACACAAAAGCCAAGCCCACAATTAGCACTCGAAAATGATAACATTTCTTAAAACTTCTTCTTCAGGTCTGTCAGAGAATTTGAAAAATGGATAAATGAAAAATATCCAGATCTCATAGTGCCTGGTTTAGAGCAAACCAAACAACAAGAACAGAGGATAGCTTATAGTGAATAAGAGTGAAGAAACTGTACGTATAACTGTAATGGGCAAGAGAACGAGTGCGCCTTTTTTTTATATTCAAGTACGTTTATGATATATTAATTTTTAAATACGAATCCGATTGCACGGATTAGCTAGTATGTAGCAAATCAATTGCTAAAGTAATTAATAAACTTTCATAATGTTCTACACAGAATGTTCAGCACCTTGATACATAGAAACTATTATAGAGAATCACCTCTATAATTTACCTATAAAACGTAAAAGTCTACCAATATGGTCTTTTAGGACTAAACTATTTTTTTTATGACAAACCAAAGAACGATGCAACTTTGTAAACCTTAAAAAGGAATTCAAACACATTTTATGAAAAAGGTCTTTCAACGCATTCGATCTGTGACATACAGCTCTTTCGTCATCGTGGTTTAGCTCTACTCGACAAAATAATTCCAACGAAAAATTACCAAAATTGAAAAAACCTTTAGTTTCATTTCTCAAAAATGATTCTATCGGGATCTTTTTTGTTTGCAATTTAAAGGCCTGTACCATTAGTTTATAATATCATTGTTTAATTTTTCAGTGTTCTTTTTCACTTTGAATCTTTCCTTTTTTTTTATTTTTGCTTAATTATAGACTTTAGTACAGAAATTGACACAATAAAAAGTCCAAAACTCATTGATTTCTAGTCAAACTTTAGATTAAATTACAAATCGATAAAAACAATGCTCTCTTTGAGATGTGAAAATTAAGGTCGCAGTCAAATTACTTAGCAACATCTAATCCAAACATTTGAACTGAGCAGACTATAAGCCATCATATGAACAGAATATTTACAAAAAAGAAAAGAATTATACCAAAAGTTCACTAGTTACTACTCGCGTTTATTTAATGAGAAAACAATTCGACTTTGAAATCCACCGTCCATCTATGCAAGACTAGAATACCAAGAGAACAAACAAAAATATTGGCACTACTTAATACCTATCGAAAATAGATCACAAAAACCATTAATCACCATTTTTTATAGATCAGTTCGTATGTTCTGTCGATGGCTAATGGAAAAGGATATGCCAGTTTTACCAGAGTATCTAAAGAAGCAGGGGCTTCTTGATTATAAGAATTATAACAATGATCGAGTATCGGTGGAATCATACTTATCGACCGGACCCACTGAAGCCCCTCCAATACTTACAATGCAAATGGTAGACGATGTGTCACAATGAAACAAAATTTTTGTTAACCGAAAGTTCAGAAGGGAGAAGAACGTTCTTTGAAATAAAAATTACGAATGGAATTGTTCCAATCACCACTTGCGTGGGCCAACCAACGGGAAAATAATATTAAAGGTCAATTGTGCAAAGTTACTGTAAATAATAAATGAAAATACTGAAATGTATCTTAACATTTATCATCTACTTTTACCACTAGTATCCTAGTACCGTCCCGCATCATCCCTACATAGTATAAAACAAAGTCGCTTCCCGCTGTCTGTCCCTATGTATGCTTAAATCTTTAAAATTAGGCAACGGATTTTGATGCGGTTTAGATAGGGTGATTCAAGAGGAAGGTTTATATGTATAATACATGCATAATATAGTAGGAAAAGACTGATAATTTTAGAGGTTTCTAATGTGATGTCGTAAATAAACACATTACATTGCAAACGCTGGCTGAATTCTACGAGGTAGAATAAAATAATGTACTACGATATTGCACATCTTAAAAGGGTCAACAAAAAAGTCCGCGATGGTATATGTCTATCTCTTAGGGATAACCCACAGTAACCATTTTTCATCCTTTACTTTTTATGAGAAATAATGTCTTATTTACGATGCGATTGTAAGTAATACAGCATTAATTCTTATCCGATTAAGTACCTTCAATACATTGTGCATTTAATATAGATCAATATGGCCCTTTACAGCATATAATTTAAATGAATATTTTCGAAGATATTACAAATTTAAAATGCAGGGACATAGCGGTTGCGGCGACAAAAAAACTGTGAATGTTGTATATAAAGACATTCTGTAGTATATTTAGTATGTTCAGGGGGTATCTCTTGAAAATTTCCCCTTTTCGATAATAATCTAAACAAAACAAAAATATATTTAGTATCAGCATTGCACCCGTGCGAAGCTGGGGCGGGTCACTAGTTTTTCAATAAACGTAGAATACTGGCACCTTTAATTTGATGGATTTCAGTTAACTTTTCGTGCAATTATGTGTCATCTTATATCTTAAAAATTTCAACATTTTTCTAAAAACTATTTACTTCCCCGAGCAGATCATAAAAAAGTACCCGTTCCTAGTAAAACGGATTAATTTTTTTTTTTCTTGAATAAAAGATTACTTCCAAGCTACCGTTCTCACTTTATCTTATCAAAATTATTTTAAGACTTAATAGATATTCTTTAAGTTGTCAGGATAAGGTGACAGTAATGTGACAGGATAATCCCCGTTAATCTTCCTGTAGCCGGTGATTTTTCATCTTGACATATTATCAATTTCCACGTCTACTGAACATCAATGAACGCGTGGTCTAAAATTTACTGAATCTTGCCAGTTAACTTTCACAATTTTATCAGTACGTTGTTGATAAAGGTTGAGAAACAATGCCGCCCGGAAATAAAGAAAACGAACCTAATATCACCGAAAATTATCACGTAAACAGTATAAATAATGATGTTGATTATGACGCAGGGGATGATAATGGGTTTGATTCACCGGGGGTAAGTAACATTTTACTCTCTGCAATCTTCAAAATTTTTTTAAAGATTCTGTCTTAAGCCAAAGCTTCAAAAATTTTTTTCAGACTGCTCCCTCGTTTTTCATTTATAGTTAATAGTTAAAACTGTTAAAAATCTCTTTATACTAGCATCACTTCATAAGAAATAAACACCATTTAAATATCTCTTCAACAATGGTTTATTTGTGTAGAAAATTGTGCAACGAAAACTTCCGCCGTTTTCCAGGTTACACTCAGGAGGAACTTTAAATTTGACACTGATCTGGCCGGAAGCAACCCGAATAACGAAACAAATAAATTGTATCAAAGGTGTAAATGTGCCACCAATTCTTGTCCGTCAACGCCTTCGAGACCTCATTCGTCTATGTCGATGCATAATGCATCAGCAAAGAAAAAGGTATATATAGAAAAGGGTACAAACCGTAATAATCTTCATACAACGCCTATTTAAAGAGTACATCTTTTGAACGTAGTTTAACATACGCAAAAAAGTATATTAGAAAACTTCTCCACAGTTTGTAATTGTATTTAACTAACTTAAGTAAATATAAAAAAAGTCATAATGTGGCAGTTTTCAGAAAATACGATGTCCAACTTATTGAGAAACTAAAAGGACGTTGTTCCAGGCAACAATAATCAAATTGATGTGTTGGCATTTGTTATTTTAATCAATTACGCCATTTTATATCAAATGATAGCTTTATTAAGATCAATTGTTTCGTTCAATCAATTAGATTCAATCCATCATAACTTTGACACATGTTTAAGTATACTAATGACGATTTTGGATTAAGGAACATAAAATTAACATAATTTCAGCAAAAACTTTGACAAACATATTTTTTAATTAGCTTAACACACAAATATTAAATTTCTTCAGTGTTTACCAAATGAGATTTTCAATATAACCACAACGAGGATCAAATTTCAGTTCGAATTATAGTATCTACGATATGACGACGGTTCTCTTGCTCCGACAATTTTTGTCTCTTTTATGTAATAACAATAATAAACAAATGTAGCAAACAAAGAGATAATCAAAACATATTCTTCTTAGACCTGACATTATTGAATTACAAAATTATTGCTATATCAAAAATGCGATTAATATTATTTAAGAAAGGATAGCTTTAGGGTTAGATATAGAGGGACAAACTATTAGCATATTAGTTCTAGTAAAAAAGAGTTTAAGTAAAATAGAAGCGGTATTGTTGAATGAGTACGGTATAAAAGTTAATAAAAATAAAACAGAAATATTGGTATGTAAGGGATGTAAAGATGGGAATAAAAGTAATATAACAATGGGAAAGAANGCGGCCAGTAGGACAACCGACGCTGTTCTGTTTCGGGTCTAAAGGCCGTCATCGTTTGAAGATGCTTCCTAACGTTTCGCTAGCAGAGATCCTTCCAACTCCGATACTGAATTTGGACAGGTAGAGAAACGTCAGGAAGAGCGGTATTGTTGAATGAGTACGGTATAAAAGTTAATAAAAATAAAACAGAAATATTGGTATGTAAGGGATGTAAAGATGGGAATAAAAGTAATATAACAATGGGAAAGAAGTCGCTGATTAGTAGTAGTTCGCAGGCTTCACGACTGTCTAATTGATGATGAAGAGTTTCTGAGCGTTTCTCCCGTGGTCGAATTCTGATTACAGACGTTTCACCATGCTTAATAGGGTGGCATCTTCAGTGCTTCACGATATTTGATTCATCTGCTGATCATACATCGTGAAGCACTAAAGGCAAAAAAAGTCCAGAAGCTCTTCATCAGCTGTTATACAATTGTTTTGGTTGATGATTCAAAAGCAATTTAAAACATGAACGAAACCTGGGAACCCGAATTGTCGAAAAACCTCCACACAACTTATCTAGTGGGTACTGCCACTGTTCAGAATTTAGCGTTTAAAATTCAATCGTTGAGAATCACCCTGTACGAATCAGCATTAGGTACAACCGCTGCAGCTACAAGCCAATTTCTGAATCGTTTCGATCGATAGCTTTAACGTCACTTAGACGATTGTGCTTGGCAAATTCGGAAAGCAAAGGGTTCCAAGTCGATCGACACATGAAAGAAAACTAAACAGAGTACCGGCCTCGTTCAATGAAAGAGATTCGTTTGCTACTTCACTGTCGGCATTGTTTGCCAATATTCCAGAAACGCGTGAAAAGCGGATCAATCAATCAATCGTTCGTACTCGAGAGTATGCAATTTTGCTTTTCGATTGTGGACAGCTTAGTTTCTTACATACAAGCGGCACTTTCATACTAACGGCCCGCAACGTAGACAAGATAAGATAATTGCCTTTTTACGTCTAAATAGAACATTGATTGAAATTTCTCACAATCAATCAATAAAGCCCAATTGAATACACATCGGATACAATAATGAAAATACAAAATCACCCTGACGTAAGCCGTGTCCGACAGGAACGCAATATAATTTTGTAATCGTTAGTAAAATTTCGATCTAATTTATTCAAAAATGAATTTGTAGTCTCGATAATACAAACTTGTATTAATCCGAATCTCCCCTCATCCGAATAAGTACACTTGAAGTTATAGTATGCGAAATTCATCTTAAGAAATATGTTGATAACCGAAAAAATAGAAATAATGAGACATCAAAAAGGCAGATGAAATACTTAAGAAACTTTTTAATAGTGGTTAATATTTAATATGAATAATGTGAAAATATATTACCCCGAATTAATGAAGAAATTGTTGTTGCTGTTACGCCCTTGCCGGGAGGTAACTTTTAGTGGATGAAAATTAAATGAATGTTCACATTGATATTAAAAAATTTGTCAAGAGTTCACATGAAGCCGACAGTTACTAAAAAACTAAAACCAAGGTCCCAGTTGACATACCTTTTACGAAGTCTTTTTTACATCACTTAATGTATTATAGTTTAAAAGAAAAACAAAGTTGTTTCGATAAAATCTGTAAAACGAATTTGAAAAAAAGGAAAATTCATTCTTGACTCCTACGTATAATGAATATCCTCCTTAAAATTTCCAAATGATCTCTCACCATGGGTACATTTGAATCAATTTCTGCTTATTTCGTAGCGATTCAAAATTATGCTACACACCTCGCTTTTTGTACAAGAGGGAAAAAATCGAAATAAACGCTCGGTTTTAAAATTCCAAACAAAATTTCTACATGAACATTTTGTATGAATAAATGCTCATTACATACAGCAGCTAACGAAGCCATTGTACTATGTACTGAACAATGAAAGTATTTCCGTCTAAATATTTCACCTTTCAACTTAAAATAGCTTCCCTCTAATAAACCTACCCAAAGGTATACAGCATAGATACAAAAGTTCGTTTAATAGCATAAAGAAAACGTGCCTTTTCCACCGGAAAATTTTTTCAAAAGTATCCGCAACATAGAGAAATCAATATTAGGAAGGGAGTTAGATAGGGATGCACACTGTCAGCGCTACTTTTTAACCTATACATCGAAGATGCGATCAACACCATTAAAGACAGTACAACTGTAGGGATAGACTTGCAGGGGCAAAAGATTAGCATGCGTAGATTTGCAGATGATATAGCAGTATTAGCATCTACCAAGGGAGAGTTAGAGATGACATTAAATAAAATGGAAGCAGTATTGACAAAACAGTATTATATCAAAATAAATAAAAGTAAAACAAAAATATTGGTATGCAAGAGAAGAAAAAGTAGGGAAAGAGCGAATATAAAGACAGGAAGTCAGATAAGCCACGATGGAAGGCGTAGTAGGGATATAAAGCAGAGGATAGCGCAAGGTCGAGTCACCTTCAATAAAAAGAAGTCACTTCTATGCTCGCGAACGATTAATTTAGAAATTCGAAAAAGATAATGGTGTATGTTTGGAGCGCAGCGCTGTACGGGTGCATGGACGACGGGCGCGGAAAAAGAAAAGGTTTGAAGCGTTCGAAATGTGGTGTCATGATGTTAGTAACGGGGATACCGTGGATAAAGAAGGTTAAAAATGAAAAGTATTAGAAAGAATAGGAGAACAGAGGACTCTTATGGAAGTCAATAAAAAATAGGCGAGTTAGGTTGGTAGGACACCTTCTCAGACATGAAGGGTTAGTCATAAGCATATTAAAAGCTAAAACAGGAGTTAAAATTAAAAATGAAAACCACGGAACCCCAAAAAACAATTATCTAGATTATTGGTAAAGGCTTTCGCGGCCAGTAGGACAACCGACGCTGTTCTGTTTCGGGTCTAAAGGCCGTCATCGTTTGAAGATGCTTCCTAACGTTTCGCTAGCAGAGATCCTTCCAACTCCGATACTGAATTTGGACAGGTAGAGAAACGTCAGGAAGCAACTCCAATCGAAACAGAATAGCATCAAATAGATTATTGTAAAAGTACACAGATCATATTTGAATACAATAAATCAATAAAGAAGTTTTAACTTAATATTGACCGTAGAGCAATCTAAGCTCATGGCCCAGGAGATTCCAAGGTACCTCTACATTTTGTCGTTCTAAGTTTTGTCACTATAAGCAATCTTAAGGATGTTTGGGAGGTACAATCGGAGACAAGAGTACATAAAATTAGAAATTTGTGATTAATTAGGTTTTGCAGCATATCATGAGGTAAATAAATACTATCTATACTAAAAAAAAGTNCGATTTTGGATTAAGGAACATAAAATTAACATAATTTCAGCAAAAACTTTGACAAACATATTTTTTAATTAGCTTAACACACAAATATTAAATTTCTTCAGTGTTTACCAAATGAGATTTTCAATATAACCACAACGAGGATCAAATTTCAGTTCGAATTATAGTATCTACGATATGACGACGGTTCTCTTGCTCCGACAATTTTTGTCTCTTTTATGTAATAACAATAATAAACAAATGTAGCAAACAAAGAGATAATCAAAACATATTCTTCTTAGACCTGACATTATTGAATTACAAAATTATTGCTATATCAAAAATGCGATTAATATTATTTAAGAAAGGATAGCTTTAGGGTTAGATATAGAGGGACAAACTATTAGCATATTAGTTCTAGTAAAAAAGAGTTTAAGTAAAATAGAAGCGGTATTGTTGAATGAGTACGGTATAAAAGTTAATAAAAATAAATTTAGTCTGTTCGGTTAACGAATCTCCATAAATGACGTGTGAAATTACAATTTTTTAAAATTTCAATAACTTTTTAACGGTTTAGTGAATCGATTTTTAATTTTTACAGGAGTTTTAGAATTGAATGAGGAACGTTTTTTTAAATTTTTATTTGTTTCGTAGCATCTTGACATACCTCCCAAACATCCTTAAATGTACCTTACCGGTATTAATTTGCACTACTTACTAATAATTTTTAGTTGAGTATTTTACCATCTTAGATCTTACATTCGTCTTTACCTTTTTGTATTTTAACTCTAGGTGTTGCCGAGAAACGGAAATGTACTTTTGCAAGTCGTCTTGCCGCCAGGATTACACAGGTCCGCAACAAACCCTGAAAACATTTTCTCTCATTCCGCTACTAGCAACGATACTTTCAGTAAGTTTCTTTGAAAAGTTAGTTCGTTTTTTTCTAATAATTAATTTAGAGGTGTACGTCTCTCGTTCCCCTTCTTTTCGAAAACAGTGAACAAACTTAGATGAATTTCGCGCTCGTCATTAGAACGGAGAAGGAAATAAAGTTTGAAAGTCAATTTTATAACAAGTCAATTAAAACGGAATGTCTAATTTCTCAACGATTCTAAAGCTGCTACGAATAAGCCTTATTTTTATTTCAAAACAAGTACATAATTAATGATCTTGCTCGGAATATTATTAACGATTGCATTCGTTACAATAAAACACTAGAAGAGAGATATTAGTAAAAACTGAACATCTTCAAAAACCAATTGATTTTTATATTAAAATAATTCTTCAGTGGACCAACCCGATAATTTTTATCGAGTTCAGCCTTCGTCTGCATTTGAAAGAGAATTGTCAGTGATATCAAGTCAAGCAAAGAGACTGGGGTCCGAACACTCTACTAATTATCAGACATCTTCGCCAAAAGAGAAAGATCAAATGTTTAGGTAAGAAAATTTTATTAAAAGAATAATTTTTCTTTTTCTTTACTGACTTACGTAGAATGATCTTCCCTGGGTAATAAACTATTAAACAGAAACTTTACATTTTAAAAACCTATGTCAGCTAAAATAACAACCCTAAAATAATTGACCAAACGTTATCTTTGGGCCCTTTAATTAAAATACGTAAAATTCCGGCAAAAGCCTTGCCCTTATTTCACATAATCTTGGTAAATTCGCAAATGCATGGAACCATTTTTGTGGAGCATGAAATTTCCTTCAAAAACGTTCGCCACATCATGTTTGCAAATAAAATTAACAATTTAAACAATAAAACGATCTAAAATTCTGAAAGCCTAATTAGTAGCGAGCGTTTAAAAGTCACGCTACTGAATTTTCCCATGGAAATATGCAAAAATGGAAAACTCGTTATACAGTTATTTGCCGATTTCAATATAATATTTTATTTACAATAAACAGTGTATAATTTACGGCATTATTTATTTAGTGTGTCAAATTAATTTGATTTAAATCTCGACTCAATTTGTTAACATTATCGTAAAAATTTTACGGAACAATGAATTTATCGTTGAATACCGATGGACTACAACAATAATAATGGCCAATTATGGAGTCGTGACTTTTCACCTTCGATTCTATACACATGTCCAATTAATTTGCAAAATTCAGATAATTGGTACACATGCACAAATTAGTACACAATTGTTTTAAATTATGTATGTGTGTATAAATATGTGTACACACCAACTAAAACTACTCAAATTGCAGTAACAGCAGTACAAGAAAAATACATCTAAATGCCTGTAATATATAATAATTCGGTGTTTTTTCAGGGGTTCGTTGTCTTTGGTATTGAGTTGTGCCTATGGTTTGCTTATTGTAGTCTCCTCCTCAATAGTGTACATTCACGATGTATTTCAAGACGTATCTCCACTTTACGAGGTACAACGTTAAATAACAATCGAGTTACAGCCAATAAATCGTTTTCTCTTTTAAGATATTAACTTTTTACCTCATTTTGGTTGCGGCAGCTTATTTAGTGTTTCTTGTGATAGACATTAGGATATATCTTAATCAAAAAAATAAATACATTGACGTGTTAAAAAAGGAAGAAATTAATGAAATACAATTGCAAGAATATCCTGAGGGGGCACTGCATTTCACAGTACCTTTACCCGAGAATTCAATGAGTACAAAGCCATTACCACACAATTATTGTTTTGTAAGGGGTCGTCACTCAGAACTGCTGTATTTAAAGATAGGAGCTACAGGTAAGCTATTAAAATAACTACAAGGATTGCCAACGAAGACGAAAACTATACTTACAGTTATCAAATTTTTAACGTAAAACAATTTTTTTAATATTACTCCAATAGCAGTATAAGCATCTAGAAAGGAGGAGTTAGGAGATAGCTTTAAAGAAAATAGAACGGTATTGACAAAACAGTATTGTAAGAACATAAATAAAAGTAAAACAAAAATACTGGAATGCAAGGGAAGAAAAAGTAGGGAAAGAGCGAATATAAAAATAGGAGACGAAAAACTAGAAGAAGTGACTGATTTTAGGTATCTAGGAAGTCAGATAAGTCAGGACGGAAGGAGTAGTAGGGATATAAAGCAAAGAATAGTGCAGGATCGACTCGCCTTCAATAAAAAGAAATCACTTGGTGTTTGTTTTAAGCGCGGCGCTGTACGGGTGCGAAACATGGACGGTGGGCGCGGCGAAAAAGGAAAGGTTAGAAGCTTTCGAAATGTGATGTTACAAGGTGAATAAGAAAGATACCGTGAATAGAGAAGGTTAGAAATGAAGAGGTATTAGAAACAATAGGAGAACAGAGGACTCTCTACAAGGCAATAAGAAATAGGCGAGATAGGTTGGTATGACAGGTGTCCTCAGGCACGAAGGTCTAGGAAGAAAAAGGAGTTAGTAGGAGTAGAGGTAGACCTAGATTAGATTACTGTTCACAAATAGTTAAGAATATGGGATGTTCTAGTTTTAGGGAAATGCGAAAATTAGCTCAGGATAGGAAAGAGTGGAGGTGCGTGTCCAACCAGTCTTAGGACTTTATGATGATGATGATCAATCCAATCCCTCTAGTATGAGATACACACCGTATCACCCCGTTAGAAAAAGAAATTTATCAAATTTTAAACAGCGTAATTTAAAATGAAACTTTTTGTGCTCCTCGACTGCCTTTAACATTAACATTTTGACTTCTACAGATCAGCCTTAATCTTAAATTAACAACAATACATTTTGCTTGATTTTTAGCATTTTGTCTTGGCCATCTAATACACAGTGTTGTCATATTGGTTTATCAATTTATATACATTTCTGACGGTGGTGATGATTATTTTGAATGTGGAAGTGTATCGACTTTGATCATGGATATTATATACCCTTGTTACTCTTTGGTACTGCTATTTTTTATATTCAAATATGCAAACGTAAGAGAACGTCTTCTCAATTGGAACTTTCTTAAAATTAACACTAAACTGTTATGCAGATTATAATCAATCGGCATACTGTGCTGGCGAGGTTTGGATTGATGCACTGCATCGCCTCGAGTTTATCATTTTGGATATGGACAATTATTAAGGAAACCGCCAATTTGTTAAGAGCAAAACAATCCTACAATGACTACAATAAAAATTCAATGTCAGACACTGAAGATAGACATTTCACTTTTCCAAAAATTGCCTATAGTTTAGACAAGTCTGTTGATAAACAGCCGATGTTGTCTCATGCAAAATGCGATTCTGAAGTATTCAACGATATTTATACGTCAGTATCGCCGTATTTATACCCATTTAGTGTTGAATTTAGTATTCTAGCAGGTAAGCAATTTCATTTTACTCAAATTCAGGTTCTTGGGTTTACGCATCGGTCAATAAACCCAAAAACCAGCAATACATCGGCCAACGACTCAAAAAACTATTATTTTTGTATGTTATAATTTACTAACTAGTCGGTGTTCTCATGATGGTATACATGAACATTGCCGAATGTAAGCGTTATCAAGATGAAGAAAACAGCCAAGAATGTCACAACTACCTGGAAGAAAGTGAAGAAAGCAATATAGTAATCCATTTGGACTGTCATTCGTCAAGCAAGGGCCTCTTCTTTGGAATAATTGCATTTATAATCAGCGCAAACAGTGTCATACTCTTTTTCGTTGTTATGAACAATGAGTATGTCCACAATCCTTTATGATACGCAGCGCCCAACTTACGTCTTTTTTAGGTCTTTAGTTTACACTACGAAGCAAATAAATACCACTACAGAGGGACTAATAGGGCTAGCAATGCTAATTGTCTCAATTCTGGCATATGAGAAAATACGAAAATTGGACGTTAATCCCCATGGACTTACTCCTTTGGACGACATTTTATTATTCATATGTTTACCAGCATTCTTCGCTTATTTCTTATTAAGTTTATATCCCATGATATACTATGGAAACATCTTATACTCCATTTCCTTATTCATAGAGGTATGTATTCGTAAAGAAAAGCATATATCTAACTTTTAGGGGTTGGCAGTCCAAAAAGAAAACCATAGACCATGACAAAATAACGCAGAAACTTTAGATGTATTTATGTTTTTTACAAAATTGTTCTTATTGATATTTAGATAACCCAGGTGTTGATACAAACACCCCTTATCGTCGACGGGTTGAGAAGATGTTCAAACGACAGAGAATTGCGAAAAACAAAGCCCGGACGAGAACTTATGATGTTCCTAATAATTGCGAACGTTGCAATTTGGATTAACGAAACTTTTACATATAAGGGTGACTCCGACGAGAGGTACGACTACTACGGTACCACCAAATGGGTTATCGGCGGACATATAGCTTTACCCCTTAAAATGTTCTACCGTTTTCATTCGTCTGTGTGTCTAGTAGACATTTGGAAATACGCGTACGAACCTAGCAAAGGTCATTGAGTATATTTATGATTTTTTAATAAACACATCATATTAATAGCTGCAGAAAAAACACTCGTTGAAAACTTTCACTTAATTTATTACCTACAAGACCAACTTAAAAAAAGGACTAATTCGTGTAAGACTATATGAAGATGACCTCCCAGGACGAAACTTGTTAACAATTACAATAAATTAAGTGAACATTTTCAACAAGTATTATTTCTACAAATATCGGTATGCTTAAGTTTCCCATAATTAGAGGTCAACTCTATCATATTTTTTTTAAGAATAACCTCTCATGCTCCTTAATAGTTTCATGATATTATCATCAATTATACCTATATTTAGCAATTACTTATTTTTAATTGTTGTAACTACTCTTTATAATAAAAATATTCTGTTGATTGTTTTATAACAATATTTGTTCTTTATGTTGTGTCGGTTTGCATTTCTGATCTCATTAAGAATTTAATCATCGATATCAAATTGACTTAAGGTGGTCTTTTTTCGAATTTCAAAAAATTAAAAATGTATGATTACTTTAAAGTTATTATTATTACCTACTGTCCCGGACCCTAAAAAATTCCCGAATTCCCAAAGTATGTATCTACTTGTAACCAATACTGAAGACAATGTTTTATCATAACTATCGTCGTTAATTTTGTCGAAATTTCCTTTGGATAACGGAATATTATTTACCCAATGTAATAAAATCAGGAATGACGCTGTAAAACTATTTTCGCAAACCTTTACCCATTGATATACTACGAGGAATAAATTGTTGAATCAGTGTATTAGCATCCCAAACGTTCGAGATAGAAAGCGTTAGCTTTGATGTGAATAAAACAAAAAAAAAAAAAACGAAACTTTATAAACCCCAGCACTGAATTGGTGGCGGGAAAATCTTCTAATTGAAATCAGAGTGTTAATTTGAGTGTGCATCGGGCCGCAGTAAGAGAATCGAGTGGCTTTTTTGAAATGTGTTTTCGTTCAATAGTTTATTTGGTAATGTCGCCAGTGAAGCATCGCCAACGATCAATTAACAGCCTACCTGACATTCGCAATGTACATATAGAGAAAAGCTTTAAACGGAAACGCGAACTTTTTACTAAACAAAAACGGAAAAACAAACTTCCTCTTCTCTTCGTCACCAGTCAGGCAGCCCATGCGCGTCCATACATGTGTATGTGTATAATATATATCTGTATGTATGTATGTATTTAGAACAGTTGCGATGTTACATTATGTACAAAACCCCGGTCCACTGCATCTCCAATTGTGTTTCGTCGCTGATCTATGAGCAGCACGTTGCCAGCCAGCCAGTGTATCTGTTTTTGCCAACATTCAAATCCGACCATGATTTAAAACTGACCCCGCTCGCATGAACAAGTTCATTCGAAATGATTAAGCCACAAAAACAATCGCAACATTATGGAAAATGTACATCTCCACGACTCTTTTTACATTGGCAATTTCAGAAAATTGGAAAGAATCAACTTAATAATAATTAATCGATTCATTAATCGAAAAAACACTCCTGTTTCAATTTCTGTAAGTAACTAAAAATGAAATATTGTATTACAGCAAAATTTGTGTACTTTTTCTTCTAATTATCGCCTTATTAAATTTTGAAAGGTACATAACCCAGGAGTTGTAGGTACTGTTCTGGTCTCTCTCTTAGGGGTCATCATTATCGTCATTCCTAAGACCGGTTGGACCTTTCCCTAAAACTGGAACATCCGAAATCCTTAACTATTTGTGAACAGTAATCGATCTAGGAGTACGTTTACTCATTTTAATTCCTGTTTCTGCTTCTAATATGTCTCTATATATGTCTCTAATATGTCCCTTCATGTATGGGAAGGTGTCCTATGTCCTATCAACCTAAGTCGCCTATTTCTTATTCCTTCTATTCTCCTATTCTTTCTAAAATTTTATCGTTCTCTATCCACGGTATCCTCATCATTCCCCTGCAACACCACATTTCGAACGCTGCTAATCTTTTCTTTCGAGGGTACGAAATCTTAATAACCAAGTGAAGAATATGCGTTATAACCAGCAAATTCAAAAACAGTCACAAAACATTCAACAATCGAATAAAGTGTCGGATTGCACACTATTGAGGTTATTTTCTACGACTACGAAGACTAAATTAAGACACACGAAGGAATATGGAGCAGTTAAATGAAATAAATACTTATTTTATAGCAATTTCCTCATCGTCAAATTCTTCAAGAACGGATTGACTCCAACTTTAATTCGATTCGGAACCTGACAGATGAAATCTGATAACAAAACGGGACTCTTAGGGATGCATACCAAGCATTTTCATGACTTCAAGGTTGATGACAGCGATGTGTCTTGTAATTAAAGTGAAGTGGATAGGTACATCTTATTGCTTGCGCACGGATGTTTTTTACCTCGACTTTTCGGCGACATAATTGGATTGATTATCAGCGTTTCCGTTGTTGCAGATGCAATTAATTGTTGATTGTGCGGCGAATTTATTGGAAACTTCGTTATCAGCGGTGCGCACACACGGTACATTAGGATGCTTAATTAGGTTATTCGGCGAATGCGCTGCATAACAGTGGATGACATTACAGGCGAGAGTAGTTCGAGACACACGATGTGCCCTCTTCTTTAGTGGCTGGCTAGCCTGTCGCCTGTTAGTTAATTAACTATTAGTCTTTTGTAATTACTTATCAAATTATACGCTCTCATGGCATGCGAAAATGTAAAATCAAACGGTACCTCTTCCGATACAAGTTTTTATACATGCATCTACCTATATATCGAGGGCTGCATCCCCGACTTCATAAATTAAATTGCACCAAATGGAAGTCAAAAGAGCCCTATTGTTTCGCAGATGGTTTCGGGTCGAACATGACACAAAATTACAATAGAATCAAAAGAGTGATGAGTTTTCATATAACTACTAGCGACCCGCCCCGGCTTAGTACAGACGCAATGGGTATACCAATGTATCTTAGAAGATATCAGAGATATTCATTTTAATGATATGCTGTAAAGGGCAATTTTGATCTTTTGATCATCGCGGACTTTTTTATCGATCTTTTTAAGATTTACGCTTCCATAGTACATTAATACATCTCGTAATATTTAGCCAGCGTTTGCAACGTAATCGCATAAAAATATGTCTATTGCTGAAAACTACATTAAAATTGGTTGCGTAGTTTAAAAGATACAAGCGTCCAGACGGCGGGAGTGATTTTAAATAAAATTTTCAATATTTTTCTCGGAAAATTCTTTAAGCATCTTTATAGCGCAGTTTCTAAAGTAAAACTATGGTCTAATTCAACATTTCAAATTTTTTGGTTTCTAAAAGACAGTAATGACAAAACGATTACAACAGAATGTACGATTATATCCTACGCTGATGATGTGGACTTTGCAAAACAATTCAATATGATCATAGCCGCTCAAAAAACTGAATGCATTACAACGGTCAAAGAACTAGTTCGATGTAAGCTGGAAGTAAACCACAATATAATAAAGCAGATAATATCATTTATGTCCTACTTGATGGGAGTTGAATTATCATATTTCGGGGATATTGAAAATGAAGTTTCCCAGCAAGTCTGCGCTATCCTCTGCTTTATATCCCTATTGCTCCTTCCGTCCTGACTTATCTGACTTCCTAGATACGTAAAATCATCCACTTCTTCTATTCTTTCATCTCCTATCTTTATATTCACTCTTTCACTACTTTTTCTTCCCTTGCATATCAGTATTTTTGTTTTACTTTTATTTATTTTCATACAGTACTGTTTTGTCAGTACCGCTTCCATTTTATTTAAAGCTATTTCTAACTCCTCCGTGCTAGATGCTAATATTGCTATATCATCTGCAAATCTAAGCATACTAATCTTTTGCACCTCTATATCTATCCCTACAGTGTACTATCTCTAATGATGTGGATCGCTTCTTCAATGAATAGATTAAAAAGTAACGGTGACAGTGTGCATCCCTGTCTGACTCCCTAATATTTACTTCTCTACGTTGCAGCTCCAGCTCTATATGTGCCTGTTGCTCTATATACAAACTAAGTACCACTCTTGTATCTCTGTAACTCGTCTTTACATTTTTAAGTATATTTAACCATCTTGTCCCATTTAACATTGTCAAAAGCTTTTTATAGGGCATGAAAATTCCGAGATCCTCGAAAACACATATACATGAAATGAATGAAATAAACAATATGAACAATTGACGCTCGAATAATTTGTTTTTCGACTAATTAACGCTACCGAGCCATGCAATCAAAATAACAACATATTTTTATAAATAACAATAACACAAAATTAATGCGACATAAAGATTCCAGAATTTCCTGTGTATCTAGCCTTCGGCCCGGATGACAACGGTTATCCTACAAGGCAGAAAAAAAAATGAGTAACAGATGAACCATAAAAAAATGATAGAATTCAGCACATTGAGAAAATTCGATGAACTATGCGTATGCGTTTGGGCCGTGTGTGTATCAATATTGAGAATACATTTTGATCTCATAACAGATTTGAGTACCTCCATCATCAATCAAATCGTAATTGATCAATAATAACAACATATCACCGAGTGGAGATTCTCTGCCTATAATTGCTGGTTGACCATTCGATCAATAAATATCGAATTGGTCGTACAATTGTCATCAAACGAACATTTGGCATTATCACAATTACCGTGCGATGTTAAACATATGCTTATATGTATGTATATGTGTACCTATAATATCTTTGTACAGTTCTCGAAACGAATGACAACATAACAGTCAAATTAATGCTCTCGACAACGTCAAATACGTAGCAACATGATGCAGAGCGGAGTGCTAACAACAGGAAGGAAAAAGGGTGCGGGACAGGAGACACGCGTGAACTACCCGGGCTTGTCTGTCATTCATATGAGCACATCAGAATGCGATTCAAATTAACTTGATTACATCTGCTATTCGGATGAGTCCTGAATCTGTGTCAGTCAATTGTATGCGGTTGTAATGTATCGTGTATTCCGGCCATTTCACGACTATTGCGGATCAAACGGGTCAAAATTTCACTTACGTGCCAGGCAATCGAGTGAATTTCATGATAGGTGAGTGGTAAAATTAGCTAAAATTTTACTGATTTAAGGAAAGCCTATTCCTATCCATTTTAAATGCATTTACTAATATCTGGGACAAAAGCAAAAACTAAATATTTTTTGGAACTAATTTGAATACTTAATACTTTTAAAAATTGTAACACAAAATGTGAAAAAGAAAACACTTGATATTAGGTTTCACAGAATTGTTTTTTACCTCTGTTAATATTATGTAACAATTTAAATGTTTTACGTTTTGGTTGGTAGTGATGTAATGG